TTTACTTTCCAAATGAGTCACGGGTTAGTTTTCTTGACAAATGCACTTTTGTAGGTATAATGGTACGAGAGAAAGACATTAGAAGACTGGGCCATGAGATACTCTCAACTGTTAAGAGAAGAGAAAGTTTAGCTGGCAGCTGAATAGTGGTTGGAGCAAGAGGCCCAGAACTGACCCGCTCTCATTTCTCAGGCTGTAAAGGAGACAATAGCCTGGGTGGGGGAGATTTGACTTTCTGACTTGCAAGATTCCATTACTTTACTATAAAGTAGAACTAGCTCATCTGGTTGTGATTTCCATCTGGTTTTCCCTGCGAGTCCTACAGAATAGACTAAAATTTGATTTATATTCATGATAGTAGAATGAAGAAGAGATTGCAAAATGGGTTATATTATTTCAGGCTGCAGACAACAGTATCCTGAATGAAACAAGTGTTTTTCCTTTTTTTCTTCCATTCAATTTTATGTTTTTTTGGAGACTGCCTGGACAAGTCCCGTAATTTTGACAGAAAGTGACTAAGATCACTCAGGTGGCTTTGTGCCTAAGGTGGGACTGTAACTCCTAGTTATTAGCCTGATGCCTTTAACCACACCATCATACTGGCTCTAGATTCACCGACTTTTTGCAAAACAGGGGCATTCTGCACCTAAAATGGAAAGTGTTACCAGATTTGGTGTTACATCCAGGTTTCCAGAAATAAAACGATAGAATGGTGGAAGAAATACAGAGCAACATAAAATGTATGGTTAATTCCTGAGTGAATGAATTAACATTAACTCATTTTCTTCCCAATAAACAAAAAACAGAACTTGTCAGAAGAGAGCTGGGATTCTTCTAGATAACTTGAAGAGCCCAGTTCTAGACAACCTGGAGAAAACAGGGCCAATTGTCAGCAGTGGGTGATGCTTCAAAGTAGGTTTGAACACAGGTCAGTCTCAGGGACTTTGAAGAAAAATATCCCCCAGAAGCAGCTGGGCAGCCCGTCATGTGACTCAGAGCAGCACATGCACAGCCCATCCTGGGTTTCCCAGGGCACATACAAAGTCCTCTGGCTGTTGCCAGAAGAACTGGAAAGAAGTCCAGAAATTTCTTTACCTTGTGAAACTTATGAGTTTCCTCTTTGGAACATCTTCCAATGAAGTTTCATACTTTTTGTTATTTGTGTTTTCAGTTTTTTTGCTGAATGAAGTGGCTTATTGTGGTGTTCTTTCTGCCTTATTTTTTGAAAGCCATCCTGAGTTACTTGTTAGAAATGGTGCATATATAAACCAGATAACTGAACAAGCAAAGCACACTAAGCACCATTCTACTAAGACACATGGGGATGCATGTATAATTAATAATTCCTCCACTTAGTTGAATAACTGTCATCAAAATAAACTGTGGCCGCCATTAAAGATGAACTCTATAATAACCAGTGGCTATTTAGGGAATATTCTTTCATACTGAACTAGAAAAATTTAAAATGTAGTTAGATATCATAGGTTTGGTTACTATTCTTAATTAAGAATTTTCCTAGTAAACAGATTCTTCTTCTCAACCAGATTTTTCCATCCCAGCCGAGCCTCTGTAACTCAGCTACAGCAGAATGCTTTTCCTCTGCTTTTCCTGATTTGGACTTGGATGATTTCCACACCTTAAAAATGACGGTTTTCTTGAAGCCACCTCAGGCTGGGCTTAGCTGCCGCAAGGTTTTGCCCCCTTCAGAACTTTTTCCACCTTAGCCACCAATTTGGCCTCAGACCAAGAGTTGTTCATTACATTGCAGAGCTCTGCTACCAGGTGTCCACCAAATCCAGGAGAGCGATTTTTCCCCAAACTGATACCTCCACATATTCTGTACCAGATGATGAATTGTGAGGTAAAATTCAGCATATCTAATTGAGTGCCCAGTTGTTTTCTGTTCTACAATCATTTCATTGTTTTATTTATCTTTATTTATCTAGAAAACAGTTGAAGATTTTGAAGTGACCAGCTGGAGCTGTATAGGTAAAATAGACACATCACACAATAGGTGGTAATCTCTTACCATTTGGGTGTTCAATATAATAGCATCTTAAAGCAGAGATTAACATTTTAAGAATAAAAGCAAATAAAAAGCTCCACAGATCAGGGTCTGTAAACTTCATTCAGAAACATTAGGTTCTACCCAGTGTGATAAAACTATGTAAAACAAGGCCCTCTACCTACATGGCCGGAGACTGGCCATTCTTCTGATCTTTGGGAATAACTCACAGACCTGGCTACAGAAGACGTTTTATATCCACAGCATCTTGAAAAAGCCCAAAGTGGGGAGTTTCTACGATACCATCCTCTACTGGCCAAACCCAATAAATCAGATATAGTTACATTCTAATTAAATGGGACAATAAGTCTGTAGACATTGTACATCTATCAACTCTTGCCCTTTTCTTTTGTGTTTGTGTGATGTGTGCAAATGACACTCTCTTCCAATCCTGATCATTAGACCAAGTACTTGGAATAACCTTTGAAGTATACCTACATGGATAGCAATGAGCTGCTGATGAGCTGCCACTTTAGTTAAGTGTTTACAAAGTCTCTAAATGTTTCAGCTGCTCAGAATAGTTAGTTAAAACATCTTTGTTTGCAACTACCTAATTATCAGATAAGCTAAAACTTCATCAATTTAGTAATCATTTTCATGGACTTTTGTGAATTGATAAAGGAAGAAATAATGGTTTCCAGCAATAAGAATATGAAAGCATTATCATTTATATTACATGCAAGGAACAGAAAAACAAATTTCAGTATCATGTTTTTTTCAGAGCCATTAGCTTGCCGTACGTTTAGCAGGCATTTAGGATTCATGCAGTGTCATCATTTATGCCACTAACAATATTGAAAGAAATATTGGTGCTGCTATTCCTTTGGCAATACATACCATGTGCACGATTCAAATAGAACATTAAATGGAATGAGTATTCTGTTCTATTTTTAGAATTGATTTTTTAAAATACTCCAAGTGTAAATTCAACACCACAAATAAAAAACAAGAACAATTATGATACAAACAGTATGTTTATACTTATGAACAGATTGACATGCACCAGATTCACACATTTACAGACATCCCAGGCAACATAGAATGTTACAGCTTCATCAAATGGAGGTTACATGGTTTTCTATGTAAACAGGATCTTTAAAAGATCAGTCTTCCCCAATTGGAATTGCCTGAATGTTTTGGACTAAGTTCACAACATCATAATGGTTGCTTTGGCTGAGGGGAAAGGAATTGTAATCAAACACATCCAAAAGTTGATTGCTTGGAGAAAGCTGGACTAGGTGTTCAAGTGATATTTACAGACCATAAAGAGCACAAGAAAGCAGCATGAGGAAGCTATAGTGCTAGAGAGTAATGTTGGTAACAGATTAAGTTCTTTACAATGCCAAAACGAATCCTATTCAGTCAAAATCTTACATACATCTGCCATTTACAGATCTCCACCTCATCTATTTAGAATCCATAAAAAATCTTGATTGAATATAAAGTAGATCTAGCTTCAATCTCCCCCTATGATCTCTCTTACAAGTCTTCAGTATAAAAGTTATATAGAAATTTTTAAATGAAAAAACCCAAATATTTATTGATCTGATCAGGCTTGTTTTTTCTATCACTATCAAAACCTAAAACAAATCACGCGACAGGTAAGCCAGGAACCTAATAGCCAGAATGGCAAATGTTTCACTTTATCCAGTACTATATGATGGATATTTGAAATCTAAACCACCTGAAATCAATCGAATAGCCAACAGTTTGTCACATAAATCTTTGTGGTTTTATTAATATAAAGAAAAGGAAACTACTTACACTGGTATTGAAAGAACCCACCAATCTTATACCAGATGCTACACACCTTTTCTGCATAGATCATCTGAATTTCTAAGTGGGTTTGCAAGAGCTTGCAAGTTCATCAAAATTACACCTTTAGTTAGCATGAAAACCAAATTTAGTGTTCTAAGGATTTTTTGGTTAACTTTTAAATAAAATACGTACAACAGCAGACTACATAATCCAGTTATTTTGTTACATTGATTCCTATTGACAGGAATCATCAGTCCCTGCTGTCTCTTCAGCATGTTACTAGTAGCTTAAAACCAATTCAGCTGGCAGTTGCAGTAACAGGCATTAAGTAGAAAGGCTTATTTTGGAAGTAAGCTAAGATGTAGCTTAAGATCAACTTTCAATAGTCTACCAGTAAGACGAACATAACATGCCGCTATGGCTGGCAGAACTTTGTTGGGATTAACTGGGACTACTGCTGTAAAATAAAGCCCATCTTTTCTCATCTAATGCATAAAACTTGAGTCAAAGCCTCTTTCAGGGTATATTTCAATTAAGTTGGTACTTTACATGAAATAGCAAAGTAGCTATTAATTTAAACAGTGTTGTTTCAGGGCAATTAGTATGAGTCTATTATAAATATATTTGACAGATTTAATTCCTACATTAAATTGCAGACAGCATCAAATTATCGTTATAGTAACCGCTTTATTAAACAGTTTTGGCTGCACTTCATTTTACACATTTCCTCATTGACTTTGATCGACAAGATTCTGGCAATAAAGCTTTCAATAGAGTGACTGTTTGAAGCAGGACATCTTAGTGAATAGGTTAACTCTTGCAGTGGCACCACCTGTCCTTATCTAATGGTTTGGATCTGTAGCATTTCTTTAGTGAATGGACAGGCTCTTCCCACTCATGGAAATCAGATTTAGCAAAAATAATCCTACTGGAGACAGGGAAGGTTCCAGATTCCCACTACTTTCAGCCCTTGGCTTTATCTCCTTTTATATTTTGAAGCATTGCCTGATCCCTCACAAGTGGGAGCGGACCCAAGGAGAGGGGAAACTGATAAATATGATAATATCTCCTTCAGTACAGGAATCTCGTGACTAGTAATCTAGATTTCTCATTCTGGCATGAATACTTGTAACACATTTATTATTATTCTATACTTTTGAAATTTTTAACTGGAAAAGGAACAAGTTTACATTCTTAGATATGGCAGTGTAAACTCTGGTTTCTATGATATTCATTAGGCATAAAAAGACTTGTTTTGACATGCAATAAAAAATCTTAAACTGCATGTTGATGCAAATGAAATGGATCTAGCTCAGTTAATAGTATCTGGTCAACCATACTGCTTCTAAGGGTAATGCACTGAAATAGTGATAATTTTGTTTATTTTTTCGCGATTAGAAACTGTTCAGTCCTATTATTGTTAGAAATAATATGGTTAACTCAATAATTTGAATATCACATTTTTCAGAACTGTTCAGTAGAATTGTAATTAGTACGACTTTGAGTAATTCCGTCAATGTGTTATAAAGCCCTGTAATCTTCTGAACATTCAATCCATATTCAATTCTTGTTAAACTGTTTTTGATCCAATGCAATGTACAGATCTTAATTTATGAACTACATCTATTTGCGCATTACTGATCTTGTTTATCAACCTGTACATTACTGATGCATGGTTGCCATTTGAACCCAAGCATTGTAATAAAGGCCCAAGTTCATTACTTTTTATAGATCATGATCGCAATACACATACAATATGGAACTGAAAAGAAGTTCTGAATAATTTTAAAGAACTGAATAATTTTGTCTTTATTTTCCCACAAAATAGGGCCTCTCACCATTTTAGCAATCCTTTATTGAAGATAACAAGTTGGTTATGTTCACTGTATTGTATGAAACATCACAATATCATACTGGGAAGGTACTATCAGTACAGGATTAGACCAGAGCAGACAGCCTGAACAATAAACCATGTTGCATTCTTCGTTCCCTAGCTTTTAACAACCTCCAAAGGAAAATGAAACAAAAAAACAATAAGGACAAATACCTGTTAACATCATCATTTAAAACACCGTTTAACTTACGAGGCTAAAATCTAATGAATAAATAAAATATATTGTGGCAATAATCCTTTCTAGACCACCCCACTGCCAAAAAACTTTAAAATAAAACAAAACAAAAACATAACCAAATGGTTGGGAAAGCTGGCCAGAGGCACCAGGTTATAAGAGTGTACAAGGATTTACACTCAAGTGTAGGTAAGGGGAGGGGGAGGAAGGTTACAAAAAAATATCATGAATTTTATTTCACACAAAACCAGTTGATGACTGTCATTAGCTTAAACTACACACAAGGGCAATTACATCCTCGTTTGAAACACAGTTTAAACAAATAGGAAAATGTTTACAAGGCATCCACAGCATGTAAGTCATGTACAGATGGATACATTCATTATTTCCCCTCCCCAATAGCTTTTATTTATTTATTTTTTAGATAAATACTCTTCTCCACTTTCAGCATTAACTTGACTCAATACATGCACAACTCAAAAGAATTAAGAAAAAAAATAAGGTTATTGCAAAAATAGAATTAAACTAAGAATCTTCAAGTACCTTACATGACGGCCACTCTGTACCATGCCCATTGCTTATAAAATGAAAGGTCACTGAACCCATGAAAATATCTCTAATATTTTCTTAGATTTAAAATAGATAATTTCAGCTGTATTTATAGTAATTTCAAAGTGATAATTTGAACTTTGTAAATAATGCAAACAATTAAAAATTATACCCATATTACACAAGACCTCTCTTTTAAGCTGATAGAAATCAAAGGAAAAAAACTATAGAAAACCACATTTAGAACAAAATCACAATTTACATTATAATAAAGGCAAATATTCAACATTTAAAAAAACTCGTAGCAATGAGTGAGATGTCAAAGCAAATTACAACTAATCATAAATTAAGTTGTTTGGTTTAAAAAGATATAGCAAGAGTTTAAAGATGTGTTATACACATGCGTAAAATTTGTATTTGTTTAGATGCCTAAAATCTCCTTATATTATTGCCAAATACACTTTGTCTCAAGCAAGCAATAGGCAACATATCACAATTCGGACACTGTAGGGAAATCCTAACAGTCTGGTAATACAGGTAAAACTGGAAAAATTAAAAAAAAATACATCCTATAGCATATTGCCCAACTGAATGACTTCCAAAGCCCAGAGCTGTAAAAGATTTCCATCTTGGTAAGGTGAAATAAGTGTCTTGTTACAATTATTTGCACTCAGGTGTGCACGTATTGTAAGTTTTGTTAAACATAGTGTCTTCAGGGTACAACTACAATCCCATGGTACTTTATGTACATTTAGTGAAGTGCTCCAAGCATTATTCCTTGGTTTTTAGGGCTCTGGCTCCATATTGATGTAACCAATATGCCCAAGGCTGGTAAAAATACTGTAGTATAGGCAATGCTAAGAGTGGCAATATCAGAAAACACAAATATGAACAAATGATGGAAAATCCTAATAATTTCTTTCTGCCCATTTCACAAAATGTTGGAAATCCACCAGAATTTTTCCCTTGTATTGAAGGAAACTGATTAAAAGTTTTTCCCCCTTTTTTCAGATTCAAAAGCATTTTAGTAGATCTGTAAGGCTACCACGGATCTTCTAGATCGCCAGCACCCTACAGGAAAAGAAGAGGAAAACTGTTAGTGCTACATTGATCTTAAAAAAAACTAATATCCATATTATTCTGAGTTATTACATTGAGAAAGCATGCAAAGATGATCAAGAAGTCACACTAGATTCCATTTTCAGAGACTCAATCATTATTGAGTCTCAAGACAAATTCCTTGTGTGTCTAATCACACTTGGCCATTCATTCATTCATTCATTCATTCTTTCATTCATTGTTACACTCTCCCAACCTTGTAATTTCAGTGGTAGGATCAAAAGAATAAAAAAAGCACCTAAACCAATGTAATTCCTATGACCAATCAAGTTTGATTGTGTTTTCTGCTAGCTTGCTAGTTAAAATAAACTGCAGAAAGAGGGGTGAAATTGTTTTACCACAAAGTAAACATTTTAAAAATGACAATAAAGGTAGGATTATATTCATATGGTTAATAAAAAAATCAATTCACATTTTGGTAGTTATCATTTCTATATTTTTCAGTTTGTATACGTAATATAAGGAAATAAGAAAAAAATCTTAAGGCAGAAAGTATTCACTAAATTGGGAGGGGGGAATTGTTTGTTTCTATTTATAGAATTTACTATATTAGGACAGAATAGCAATAAAGGTTATTAAAGTACCATGATTATTTAAAGAAAGTCAATATGCATTCAGATTATTCCACATGTTTTTATTTGATTGTAAACAATAACTAATAACCACTAATTGTCAGTACATTTTAGGCATTAGATACATAGTGCTATTAAGTGCATCCTGGATACATTTAGAAAACTGGGTACAATTGTAATGTCCATACTACAGTCTGGCATAACACAGGACAACTTAAATGACTAAAATTAACATGCCTTAACTTAAAAACAGGCAAATGTGTCTTTGACATGAATTATCCACAAGTCAAATACAAACGTGCAATATCTACATCATTGTCAGTCATGGAAAGTGAGTTATAATTCAACAAACTATAAATGATGGATTCACATGGCTATTTTAAGCTTCTCCAAAATGTTAAGTTAGGTTCCCCTGCCCCCAGCACAATGGCCAAGGTGACATTCCTTTTAGATATCAAACTCTAATACAATACCACTGATATTTAAATTCATTAAATCTTTTGACCATTATCTAAGAACACAGATGCTGTGCTCTTTTCCACATAGGCAGAAGGCATGCAGTGACAACGCTGTTAAAACTATTTTATAATAGCTAAAGTTCCCAGAAAGAACGCCCTATGTACACAGAAGGCCTCTTATGCATGTAGCCAGTACATATAAAAATTAAAAAAATCTAACTTTCTAAGACATAGCAAATATGGAGAAAGTAAGACATTATAAGAACTAAACAATCAGCAACTACGAAGAAAATGAAGGCATCATATCATTTCATCATATTATTCATCACTCATTTCTGAATCTTCACTGGGGCTCTGCGTTTCAGCAAGCTGGTGCTCACATTTTGCTTCAGAGTCTGTCTCTTGATTATTTAATCCATCTGAAGTTGAAGTTGTAGCTGATTCAGCAGAACATTCTTCTCCCTGAACTTTAGCTAGCCTGTAATTAATGAGCACGTCTTCCAGAAGGTGGCGGTAGTTTCCCCTATGAGTAACTCTCACTTGCCTGAGAGCTTCTGTCAATTTTTCCTGGGTTGCACCTTCTGCAGCTTTGCCATGGTCCTTATTTAAGATTGAATACCCCAGAATCAGTAGTTGAACTAGGATATTTCTAAAAACTTTTAATACATTTGACAAACTATTAAAAATTGTAAGTGCTGGTTTCTAGTAAGCCACCTTTCAAACAATCTTAGTCCCCCTTGGCAAAAAGTTGCTTGAGAGCTAGGATTTTTAAAAAGTTAATAAAATAATAAAAGTATGGAAAGGTATTTTCATATTAAGTTCACCAATAACTATGAAACTTAAGATGACTGGACATAATTTATAATTTAGATGTTCAAAATAAAGACATTGTATAAGTCCTATTTTTATTGTTCTATATATAAGTACTATATAAATACCTATAATATGTAAGTTATATATTATGTTTTAAGATATAGCAGTATATTCAACAATTTGTGAACAGCTTAAGTAAAATGAATTTTACTTTTTATCTTTACTTTACCTTTTAAGTTTTTGCCAATTGATTTAAAACTGCCAATGGAAAGTTTGCTGCCACCTATACTGATTAGAATATTATGTACTACTTTCTAAGTATATTCTAAGCAAACTCATACCCCAAGCATGAGCAAATGGGGCTGATCTCAGGGGTGGGATACAACAGGGTTAACTACCGGTTCGGGATTTACAAGCTTCCCTGCACACTATCAGCATGCTGTGTGCAGAGATGCAACCTTTGAAACAGCCCTCTTTTCTTGCTTTTTTAACTGCAGCTGTGCCTTGCAGGGCAGCTGAAGTTGAAAAATCAGTAAATAAAGATAAGGTAACAGCCCTGGTGGGCGGGTGGGCAAAAACATCAGCAGACATAGAAATGGTTCTATGTCTGCTGCTCTTCAGAGCTACCGGTTCTACAGAGGTGGACAGAACCGGTAGAAACCCACCCCGGCTGAATTCCAAACATATTCTAGAGCCAATTCAAAAAGAAAAATCCTAAGTACTTCCATGCTTGATTCTGTATGCTTTAAGGTATGAGTTTTCTCTCACAATGTTTATTCAGCTTTGTCTAATACAACTAGGTACATATAATTTAGGGTCAATCCCCCCTCCAAAACTGACCAAGTCTTCACACAACACATAAAATATAGAGTAATGTCATGTGGCATACTAATATAATCCAAAATAGCTTTTCAAAGAGTCTAGTCCAGTGGTTCTCAAGATTTTGTTTATCATGGACCTCATTTAAATACCTTTTGTGGCACCAGACCACCAAGTCTTAACTCAAGATTTAAATTATAATATTTCTTCAAGTCTTCACAGACCCGCTGTGATGACATTGTCCCCCCCCCCTCCCCCAGGCATCTACAGACCACTGGTCTAGAAAACTTCTTATTCAGATCAAAGGCTCAAAAGCATTATGTCTTTATACATCAGATACTGGGGGAGGGGGGAGAAATAGTTAGAGGACTGTTGCTCTCATGTTCTACTTATGGGCTTTCCAAAGATATATAGTTGTATGCAAAAGAGCATATCAATGTAGATATACTTTTGTGCTAATCTAAGGTCTTTTTGCAGATTATCAAGAATATGTGTTAATACAAATAGTAGACAGCAAATTATCATGTAAGAAACTTTAAAGAAATAGAAGAAATCCCAAGTGAATTATGTGAAAAGGGTATTATAATAAGCTGTGTTTTTGTATCACTATATCCTCCTTTTAAAGTATCTTCTTCAAATTTGCCCAGTCCTGAGAAACTGGTAACAGTTTACGTATGGGGATGGATATAAATGATTTTTTCCCCTTGAAATTCATTCTCTCTTTACTTAAGCTGTACTCAGATTCTAACCAAGCAAGATACTGTTAGCAATTTTTATTGTATAAAAATGGAAGTATCACCAAATCATGTAGAAAGAACAGGAACTATTAAAAAAAAAGTATTGCTAAGGAATTCAGAACTTCCTGCTACCCAGCCTCATCCTAGAGTTTCTACCAAGCTCAAATAATGTGTGGTGGTGCAGTGTTTAGAATGCAGTACTGCAGGCTACTTCCGCTGACTGCCGGTTGCTGGCAATTTGAATCTCACCAATCTTCAAGGTTGACTCAGCCTTCTGTCCTTCTGAGGTCAGTAAAATGAGGACCCAGATTGTTGCGGGCAATATGCTGACTCTGTAAACTGCTTAGAGAAGGCTGTAAAGCGGTATACAAGTCTAAGTGCTATTTCTATATCTGACAGGTACTGATTAGGAAAAGTTTAGAAGAAAAACTAGGAAGAAAGCTTGCAGTTCTTGCCTCCACAATTCTCTTATTTACAGTACTTATTTGGAGCAGCCAACCTCCTGATTCTAAATAATGTCATTAACACCAAACTTCAAAAGCACCCATTATTGAATTACCAGTAAATTTTGAAACATGGAACATTAAAATATAAATATATAATTGCAGAAGGTACATTTAATGCATATATTTAATGAGGTTAAGCTACTTTTGCCTAGGATACCCAAGACCACCAGAAGAGAAATCAAAGCTCTGGTGGCCCCACAAAATCAAAGAGTACCATGAGGTACAGGTTTTCTCAGTGGTTGTTTCCAACTGAAAAGTCCTTCCTAGAAAGGCATATTTAGGATGTTATTATTATTTACTCTCAATTCATAAGGACTTTTACTGTTATCTCACACTGATGCCGCCATGCAGTGATAAAATTGATCTTATTTCTACTATTTTCCTTCCTTTCTGCTGTCCAGTTTATTGTTTTACAACACATACATGTCTGTACCAATGTTTTTAATACTTATTTCAAAATGTCCACTTGATACTGACCCTAAGCAGCATTAGGGAAACTGTGCGTATAACATCCCAGATTCAATTCATGGAAAGTCCTGGTAATACTAGGAAAGATACTTGTGTGCAAAATTTGAATGACTGCTGCCATGCAGTCAATTGCCAGATTTGGCATAAAGGTAGAACCTATGGTCCATATTTGAAAAAAAAAAAGAACAAACTGAAATAACATGGTATGTAATACAACTAAAAATAGAAGTCCGATGTTTCGTTAAAACTGAACTGGACCTGTTTATTTCTTACATCAATACTGACACCATAATTACCATACAATTACCAAGACCCAGGCTGTTCTTCAGGATATGAACAATTTATATTTTACATCTGATGTGATGTTTAGTAATACTTGCCTGTAATATAAGTTGCAAAATTTCACAAAGTTGCATAATACTGATATATAATAGCAACTTGGGAGGAGAATTGGAATTCATAGAAACAAGCTAACAAAAACAATTTCTAAGTACCATTTTGTTATCAATTAGAACAGAGGTCTCCAAAATTGGCAACTTTTAAGACTTGTGGACTTCCAACTCCCAGACTTCTCCAGCCAGCATAGCCACAGGTCTTAAAGTTGCCAAGTTTGGGGACCCCTAAATTAGAATTACTGAATAGAACACAATTTGATGTCTTGACTTGGTATTATTAGTGAAAATATATTAAATGTTATAGGGCAATATTTAGCAATATAGAAATATTTATAGGAGCCCAAAATATTATCAAATATTATATGAGAAGTTAAATAACAAGAAAAAAATGCTGATTTCTTTACTGATTTTTTAACTTAGGGAGAAAACCAATTTCAGATTTAACTTTCAGCACCTCTAACAAAAATGAAGTCTATCTAGAGCAGGGGTCTTCAAATTTGACAGCTTTAAGACTTGTGGACTTCAACTCCAGAATTCCTCCTCTAGTCATGTTAGCTCAGGAATTCTGGGAGTTGAAGTCCACAAGTCTTAAACCTGTCAAGTTTGAAGACCCTTGATGTAAAACCTTGGAGAATTACTGCTTACGATAGGCAAACTCTGTACTAGATATATTAATATAGGCCACCTCTTACATTTCTGCTATGTTCATGTCAGTACTGAGAGCATGTGACTGACATTTCTGATATAAAAAATGCATGCATATGTGTGCGCCTGTATGCGTGCATGTATATGTATGTGTATTATATGTATATGTGCATTTCAAGTATCAGATATATGAAACAGTATACTGACTTGATTTACACATTATACTAGATTGGTTTATTTAACCATAGCGTGTAGATGAAGCCACAACTGGCTTGGCTCATACAATGCTATAGTTGACTTCATATGTTATACTAAATAGATCTAAAAAACATATTATAGGTTATTGTGATGTGTGAACCTACCATTTGTTTTTGTGCATTATAAAGAAAGAAAAATCTCTTGCACATTTCTACATGAAAGTAGATATCCTAAACACATTTTCTTAGGATGTTGTTTCACTTATATAACAAATGATTGATTAAAAGAGTTTTACATTTCAATTTTGCTGAGTTCAACAACAAAACTCCTCTACGCATGGCTCATTTTAACTAAGCTGTTCAATCTAATAGCTTTTTACAAGCCTTTAAAATAATATATATACACACACACACACACACACACACACACATATATATATACACACACACACACATACATATACATATATATATATAAAAGCATAGTTTATATATATATATATAATATATATACATCACTATGTTGTTTCACCCCTTCAGTAATCTACTTATTAAATGATTTCAAATCTATATATAATGTTTAGTTGAACTTATTATGATTTAGAAGAGTGAAACATTTAGCACTATCTCCAATTCTGGTAACTTCTAAGCCTGTAATCTTCAATTTCCAAAATTCTCAATAATGATGGCACTAGCTGGGAATTCGGTCACTGGAAATCCACATACCTGAACGTTCTCAATGCTGGAAAACAGTATCTACAGAAAAGGCTAACGGTAGCAACCCAAATCATATATACATGCATAATACTCCAAATTGTCCTTGGGTTCAGATTATTTTGCTAAAGCATTAAATATCAAATGGCTCAAAACAAAACTCCCTATTAGTTGGAAATGTTAAACATTAAAAGAATGAACAATATAAGGCAGGGCTTGCTGAACTTTGAAAGGAATTATGAATGGAGGCTGACTTGGCCCAAACCTGAAGCAAGAAATTCAAGTGTTCAGAACAAATTATATCCAAAATCTCAAGGTTTGTGATACCGCAAAGCACTATAAACTACAATAGAACCCAAAAGGTTTCTAGATCCATACTGATGTTATAATTTTAATATAAACCTCTCCCTTTCCTTCAGATAATTTGACAATGTTTGGCAAGCAGTAGAGCATATCATTTATATCTCACTAAAGATGGGACTGTAGCTATACTGTCCAGAACATTCAGAATGATTATGAACTTAAGTCATAATAGATGTAATTGATTCTACTTAGCATAGCCTATTGAGAACACAACCTAACTAGGTTTGAAAAATAAACAAATCATCCAAGACTGAATGATCTATTTAATGTTTATAGATCAAGCACAAATATCAAGCCTTGTCTATATTTCCCTCCCTTATAATTCCCAAACAGCAATCAGGATTTTTGTTTAATAAATGTGGCCTCAGTAATTATCCTGTCTCTCTCTGTCTGTCTGTCTGTATCACTGAAAAAATAAATCATCTCGCAAGAAGACAAAGAAGATTAAATACTTATTTGGCAAAGTAGTCCTTAACATTAGGGTTATGTTATATGTTCCTGTTTCACAAATATATTACAAAAATGAAATAAAGTCCTAAAGTAATGTTATATGGCTGTCTTGTGATTTGAATGAAGCCAAAACGATTTATATTAAAATATCTGTCGGACAAATCATTTAAGGTCAACTTTTACCTTTAAGAAATTTCATTAGCATAATGATCTTGAGTACTTGTAAACTCAAATATAAAGTATTCCCCCAAAAGAAAGATTACAGTTTAACTGCATCAGGGAAAGCTGGCAATCAAAGGTGAAGTACTTACCCCCTCATTCTCTCTGTGTGGGTTCAGCCTGTTATAAACAGCTTCAATAATATTTCTCCTATACAAAGACAACATTTTAAATTTACATTTTGAATAGTTTTCATAAAACAAATGTTTTCTTAACAAACTAGTTGGCTAAATGACTGTATGAAACCCTCACAATTCAGAAGAAATAAGTCCTAGAGTATCAGATGATGAAGAGAAACAGCAGGATTGTTATTGCAAGCATGTCCCTCCTTGTGGGATTCCCAAAAATATCTTGGTTACCACAGCAGTAAGTAGAATAACAGATCTTGGTTCCTTATTTTATTTTACTTAGGCTACTTAACTCAAACAATGAGAGTCCAGGCAGCACACAACAAACAAAGAAGCATCACACAATAAAATGGCATAATGCATTAAAACATAATAAATACTGATAAATAGAATTGAAAGCTTCAACAACTCACCACTGTAACTCTGCTCAACCTGACCCCAAAGCCTGGAGGAACCGCCAGGACTTTACCCACCTTCCTGGAAGCCTGTAGGGTTGGGGGCAATCACATGTCCTGGGGAGGATCACTCCAAACAGCAGAGGGCTCCAGAGAGGACAAACCTCCTGGGTTCCATACAATGATATATTTTCAATGGAAGGGTTCTGGAATGTGCCTTCCTTGTTAGAACTTATGGGATAGGCAAACATTCTTGAGAGCAAACAGACCCATAAATAATCCATTCCTGTACCAAATCTGTGTAGGGTTTTATAGAGGATAATCAGCACATTGAATTGCACCAAGAAGTCTACTGAGAGTCAGTGCAGCTTGTGGAGTAGAGGTGTGTTATGTGGACATAATAAGAGATATCTTTAAATGGTATGGTAGATGGTAGTCTGGAGATGTATATAGTTACTCATTTAATGCTATATACTCTACGTAATATTTTAGTTATGATATTACATAGAGTATAGTTACTATGCACTCTTATTTTAGTGTTTATCTTCACATCTGATATGACAAAGGCAAAAACATTCTGAAAATAGCCAGCTGTTTATATAGTTTATGGAAACTAAAGAAATGAGATATTTTGGCAGAAGCATTACTAGAAGTATCGCTGGAAAAATGTGCAATATGTTATTCTGGCAAGCATCTTGGACAAACAAAAATACCTTGGATTTCAATCCTTGTGCAAAAGTTTTGTATTAAGTAAGAAAAGGACCATTTAAATCAATGTTTTTTGTATACTAAAGTGGATCCTAGCAAAATTTTGCTAGAAAATTGAGATAATGCAGAACTCTATGTTTCTGGGCTGAATCTACTCCACCCAAAATAAAGGTAATTTACTCAGGCCATTGTTTTTTTTAGAGTAAGCATTTCATTAATTACAAAAAACCCCACTAAAATATTTTGTTATCTTCTTGCATAAAAATAACTAATGGAAAAAATCCTGTTGATATTATTTTTAATACATTCAAAAAGTTGGGACTGATCAAATCAACTGAATAAAAACTCAAGCTGTACATACATGAATAGTGAATAAACAAAAATAAAACCCTGCAAAAATTAATCAAATTATTCACAAGTCCTGGTGGGACCTAACATCGGCAATGGGAACTCTGTCCTGAAGTTGAAGCAACCAGCGAATAGACGACCTGGTAAAAAACGAGGCCACAGTGGAAGCTTTCATGGCCCAAGCGGCAGCCTGGTGTGTGCGCGCTTCAGAATTTGTTGTGACTTTTGTTCTCCGGTTGTAAAACATCCTCTGGTTCCATAGGGGTGCCTGAGGAAGCAAAGGTGGCTATCACCAGGGAATCTACTGCTGGGAGAGCTAATGCGTTAGCCAAGGAGGGACCTACATTAAAGAACCTCTTGTCTTGGGAAGAAGGGCAAGACCCTGACAGGGGGTTCTCACACTGGTCCTTTACTACATCCAAGAACAAGGTAGACGGGAGAACCTCATTTTGGACCACCGGTTTGGAGAATAGCGTGTCTCCTTGGCTCGAGGGGCCAGCCTGTGGTTCCAGGACCACCTCTTCTGGGCTTAACTGGGCTGTAACCAGAGCCTTCTGTAGTAAGGGCCGAAACAAGGAGGGCTTAAAGACAGCCATTGTCGACAATTGTTCTGGTTTGGTTTCCTCTTCATTGGAGAGGAAGGGGTCTTTAATTTCCCCCTCTTCCTCCTTTGAGGAACTACCCCATTCAGAGTGGTAAGAGGATCCCCTGTCATCCTGTCCCTCCCAGCTATAAAAACGATGAGGGGCATACATGGGTTCTGAAGTGGGAACCTCCCTCCATGGGGGAGGGTTACCCTGACAGAAGAAAGGATACCTGAGCCTCCGCCCGGGAGGTGGAGGAGGTGTTTGAGACCTTCAGCAATGCCCGGTCTGACTGCCACCGAAACTACTTCCTGGAAATCTTGGGGCTTGTTCTCCCGGGGAGGAACTATCATCTGGGGCCCAGTCACAGAAGGGATAAGGTTAGCTTCCTCCCTAAACCCGTAAAAACCCCTAGGGGAAAAGCCTGCTGAGTGTTAGGTGTAGCTGTGTTCCAAGTAGGTGGCCTGTAAGAAGGGCCTGACAAACTCAGATGCTGGGGAAGGGCTTCATCCTGCCTTTCAGGTGACCAGTTCCATAGATGGCTATCCGGACTCCCATCTGCCCTCTCTGTGCCTGCAGTTTGTTCTAGTAATTGTTGAGCATTTTTGTGAATTGTTTCTCTAAAGCCTCATGTCTTCTCTTTTCTGCCCTAAATTCAGACTTGGAGGCCTTCTTGGGGGCTAGGTCCCTGGCCCTGATCTTTGCTGTGGTCTCCCTATTGGCTGAACGGACTCGTGGTTGTTTTCTTTTCATAATCCTTTTGGGGACTTGAGAGGTCTGAATGCTCCGCATGCCGGATGGTCCTGGCTGGGCCCAATCTTTTTCCATTGCTCAAGGAAAAAACACCGGAGGTGCTGTCAGCTTCTCCTGGTGGTGTTTTCCGAGCTAGATGGCCAGGAGAGATATAGGATCACTGCCTCGGGATCCACTAAAAAATGGCGCCCAGAGGAACTCGATCACAAAATGGCCACCCGCCACGAGGCGGGGGGCCTTGAGGCCTTCGATGATCCCTGTTGCACGTGTGAATCCCTGGGACTTCATGCTGTGGCCTTTGTTTGGCAATTTATAATGGCCAGCTTAATATCTTTGCAGAAGGAAGATTGCCCCTCCAATCAATGCAGCAGTAGAAGGGAGGTTAGTTGGGATTGGGCCTAATTGCTGCAAGACCACGAGGGCAGCTATCATAAAACTTTGATAGTTTATGGCTTAATAAATCTCCAGAAGACTTGTGCAGCCTCGGGAGGTTTTTACAAGCCGCACAGCCCAGGGAAAAACTGCGTAGGAGGCCGTTGCGATGTTAATTAGCCTCTAGCAAGTCTGAGGGAGGTTCCACGGCGTTTTGGCCTATCGCACTTGCTGTCTGTGTGTCAGTGCCTTGCTGAGGCAATTGGAGGACAGCGGATCCCTGTTCTCTTTGTGAGCGAAGCTCTACCGGAGTCCCGGGAGCTTCTCTCCATCTTGATGAGTCTTTTTTCCTTTTTTTATGCTTTTGTTTTGTGGAGTGCTAATTAACTCAGAGTCCAGAGACAGTAGCTCATATGTCCAAAAGCTGAGTCGAAAAGCTGGGGCTCTCAGCAGAGGCAAACCTTTTATAGTGGCAGACTCAGCTCACGTCATAAGAGGGAGGAGTTATACCCAATGCTGGACTCTAGAGCAGCGTGACAGAGAAAAGGACCATTTACATCAACATTTTTTGTATACTAAAGTGGATCCTAGAAAAATTGTGCTAGAAAATTGAGATAATGCAGAACACTATGGTTCTGGGCTGCATCTATTCCACCCAAAGTAAAGGTAATTTACTCAGGCCATTGCTTTTTTAGAGTAAGCATTTCATTAATTACAAAAAAACCCCCATTATAATATTTTGTATTTACTTGCATAAAAATAACTAATGGGAAAAAATCCTGTTGATATTATTTTTAATACATTCAAAAAGTTGGGACTGATCAAATCAACTGAATAAAAATTCAAGCTGTACATACACGAACAGTGAATAAACAAAAATAAAACTCTGCAAAAATTAATCAAATTATTCACAAGCCATTCTGTCCAGAGTCAAACATTATTACTAAAGCATTTATAGCATTTTTAAATTAAATCTTAACAATTTATTATCGCACATTTCTGTGTTTTCTTATATTTTTACTCTCCAAATTTCAAGTCTTAATTACAGCATGAAAATACATTAAAATGCAGGTCCTCCAGTTATGACAATAATTAAGACCAGAATTTCTGTTACTAAGTAATACAGCATATTATATGATTGCATTGGTTAGCAATGTTACTATTAATGAAACCCCACTGGTCATTAGGCAAGGATCCTAGTATGATCCAAGTATTCCAGCTTGGCTTTTCCTAGCTTTGAGTCTTAGTAAGGTAAGGTACTGCTTTCTTCTTCAACTCCCACCATCCTGCCTATTCCCCCCCTGGCCCTATCTTTCCTCTTGATCATCCTGTATAGTGGTACTCTTCTGTGGCAGTGGCAGTTCTATGGCTGAAACAGAAAGATGGCACTTCACCCCTGGTGCTTACCTACCACTGAGTGCCACCTCAAGCCACACGTTCTGGCCACCCATCCCAGCACAAAGCATGAGCCACTCCCACCACCCTGCAATCTGTAAACTATGCCATGCTGACTTTTGTCATCTTCCTCTCACTGCTGAGAAGGTGCACCTGGTCTAGCCCTATGCCAGGCAGCTGCTGGCTTTTGCAAGCTTTCTTCCGGAGGCCACTTGAAACCATTCTCCACATAGTATACGCTGTTCTCATAATCCTTCAGAAAGCTTTTGAGATCTTCCAAAGCATGACAAAACAAGGATGTGGCCTTCTCATGTGGTTTCAGAAGGCCCCAGATGTCTTCTGAAACATCATGAGAATGACATGCATTACTTGAAGAAATTACATACTATTTTGGAGAATGGCACAAGCAACCTCAGGAAGGCCTGGTGCAGCCAGCAGCTACCTGGCATAAGGCCAGTTTGGGTGTGCATCAGCAGCAGGAGGAAGATGGTGATGGCCAACTATGGCGATGATCAGCTGGATGTAGAAGGGCAGTGAGGATGGCTGATGCTTTGTACTTTGGTGCAGTTGTGGCCATGGTGCAGGGCTTGTGGTGGTACTCCTTCGTGGCAGTGGGGCTGGAACTGAAATAGGGGCACGGGGGAGGTTGGCTGAGACAGAAGTCCTTGGGCCTCTATGTCAGCCCCTATGCTACTACCATCATGTGCTACTGTGTGAGGCAACCAAAAGGGCAGAGAGAGACAGTGACACAGACAGGTAGGAGGTGTTGTAAGCTGGTGGGCTGCCAAGCATCCACATTTTTATCATGCAACTACAGGCCATAACTTTGGGAACTGGGCATTAGCAGTTTGGGAACTGCTGAAACTTTGAAAAAATCACTGAACAAATTATCATTAAGCTAGCACTACTAGAGCAAATTCACATAATTATCTAGCCTGAAGCATTTTAGAATGCAACTGAAAAAAAGTTAAGTCTAACAGCTCCAGATGGCAAAACTTTACATAAAGTTAATAGTTCTTGTCATCTTGTTCCCAATGTATTATGCTACATGCAAAAACACAGGGAGAACATTCAAAAATGTAGTTACAGATCGGTCATTCTGAAATACAATTCCTAGAATTAGTTGTTTCTACTGAATGACCAGCTCAATCTTGAAGGTCTCTGGGTAGGTTTAGCAGACTATTTCACTGAGCTGCAGAACTAATAAAAAGTGATGTTGGTCTTGAAGAAAAAATCAGAGAAAAATAGTTGTTAATTGTAAACAGTAACTGAGGCATGAAAGAATACATTTCAATCTACAGCAAGTTATATGATCATGCTAATATTTGAACCCAATACATGCATGCAAAAAAAAAAAAAAAAACCCCTACCACCAACCCACAAATTTATTTCTGTTCTATATATACCCCAAGATTTTTGTGTATTTTTACTTACTTGCCAGCTAGACCACCTCCAGGTGGCAAGTTTGGGATATTCTCTGCAGACAAAATGCGCATAACTTGAGCAAGGTCAGGCATTCCTTCTTCACCCGACTTCTCCATTATTTCTAGTTTAAAAAAAAGTTCTTAAATTATTAAAACCAAGAACCATATACAGAAAATCCCACATTTGATCATGAAAATATCCAGCATAAAAACAATTCAGGACAGACATACTGAAGATATATATATTTATGTTTGTGTGTCAGTATATTTAATGTTGATTTTAAACCCAACTAGAGAGATCACAAGATGACTGCAACTTATTATCTCTAAAGGGACAGTAATTGTATTTATTTTACTACCAGGAATCAACTCCTGGTACATTTAATAAAGTCATGAATTATCCCAGAAAAACTCAAAATAAAAAAAGAATAACTGCTAAACTTCTGCTAATACCCAGGAAAGGTATTAAAAACCTTAAGTCTTTTTATAAAAATTGATTAGACAGAAAACTTATCAGAGTCCTGTTTTTTGCTACCATGGACGAATCCAGCTCTCTTCTTTTACTTAAATATTACTATTTAATGCTTTACATTAGGAAGAAAAAAAAAAAGAAGTCTGTATAATTTTTTAAGACAAAAAAGGCCTGTTCCCACAATCTGAATTATCTCAAATGAATGTCAGGATTTTCTCAAATCTTATGCTTTTCCAAAATTCAATTGCAATGAAATACATTTAATTACAATGGAACCATGATGATCTCTTTCCTAACTATAGAAATAAAATATATGTAAAATATATGTAAAATGTTTTAATGTACCATAGAGATGTTTTTGAAAAATAAATTGTATAAGTCAGATGCTGTTTCGATTATTTCGATTTAACTTATTTTATTATTTAGTTTCCAAAGAGAAAACCACTGTTGGACTAATATTCATACACAACTACTCAAAAGCAAGTCCTTCTATTCAGCAGAGCTTACTTCAGCTATCCAGGATTAAAGTAGCTGCTCCAAACAATCTATGATTCTAAATAGAAACTTTATGGAACTGTTTTCAAATACTCAATCTTTAACTTTCTAAGTTCTAGTCTTTACTTCTATCAGTAGCCTTAACAGATGCCTTATGTTACATCTTCAGGGCTAGGTATTTTTTGCAAATGTGATCTATCGAATTTCATTTATCTAAAATGAAAGTACAATTTACATAAAAATGCTGCTCCACAATTTACAATCCTTTAGATAGTTTCTTCTCCCAGCAATTTCCACTAACCAAATGAGACCATCAGAACTTTCTCCCCATCTACAAGCCCACAAATGTTTAGGGTTTTATGTTCAGGAGAACTCTCCTCCAAGGCAGAACAGAGAACTGAAGGACAAGGACAAAGTCAAGTTATATTAACAGAAATATACTTGTACAATTTTCCTTTATATCTCCATAATTCCTTTCTACCTTCCCGAAGAGTATCTTACTCGATTAGCCTTGCACAAACTAGTTTAAGATAAACTAATCTAATCTTATTTATAACTTTGTTAGATGGCCAGAAGTTGGAAGAATATTAAACAGAAAAAAAATGTTTAATTTTTTGGTTTTTTTTTCTTGTATGCATGTTGTACCAAAAGGCTTCTATAGTCTTTCTAAATGTAACATGACATCCCATTAACAATCCATCTCAACTTAAAAAGCCTGGATGGAAACAAAGATAACCAGAATAAATTACTTTATCAAAAACTAATTTTTAAGACAAGAGCCAATGTTGTTTTTAAATCACTCTGTCATTCTCATCCTCCAATTTAAAAACCAGGTGAACAAAGAGCTTTATATCATGAAAAGAATACATAAAACTTAAATTAAACGTGGATGAGGTAAAGAAATTTCCACACCAAAAGAATAGTATTCAATATTTTTGCTTGATCTAGAAAACAAGAATTTAGTTTCAGTGCAAAACAAAAGAATATTTTGTTTTTTCATCTGGTTACATGATTATCCAATTGTATAAAAACTCGTAAGTTCTGATATTCAGAAATTGACTTTGCAAACTTAGTAATGAAAATACATTTTCAATTATTTTGTTTCATAAAAAGGTTTAGATAACTACTCCATAATTTCATTTCTAATGCTTCATAGCTGATGTAAAATGGCAAGGTGCTGTTCCATTTAATCACATTTCAAGTTGCATAATTAAGAAAACCACAGACTTTGTCAAAGGGCAGAGTTTGGATATTTATTAGAATCAGGAGAAATGTGAAAATGATAGAAAGGACAAAGGGAAAATAAGGCTTGTGTTCTTCTGTATTCTCTTCAGTTTTCTTTATATTCTTCTATTCTTGAAATAAATATTCCTTCAATATTCTAACTCTCATTTCTTGTCAAGTATAAGTCACTTAAAGTTGTTACAGTTCATCCAACGTACAGGACATTGAATGACTTGGGCAATTCCTGTGGGGAAAAAAATCAAAAGCAGCACACATAGTTTTGAAAAAAAGATGGCTAACTTATTTTGTTGAATACTTTGGTTTAACTTAATGAAATTGCATATAGAATTTGGCCTTTTTACTAGTTGGTGCACATAATTCTGTGTATATTTTGAACACCCTATCTCTTAAAATTACTAGTTTATTCCAAGATTAAACAAAACTCCAAAGGGTCATATGATAGTTATTGAAATACCTAAGCAATCTTTTTAAATCAACATTATAGGCTCTGTTAAGTTACTGTTACTGAGACAAAAACTTCTGATTCTAACACAGCACGTGCAACATTTAAATCTTGTGAAATCTTTAAACACTTCATTGTTCTGAGCCCAAATGGAATAAATCCATCTAAAGTGGCACTGAGGGGACATAAAATTGGTTTCTCTAGGGAAGTTCACTAGTACAGTATACAAATACACAGGTTCCAACTCCCCAAATGTCTGTAGTGTCTTCAGAGTCCCTCTAAAGTTGTTGCATCTGCAATGCTTAATGTAACAGAAAGGTATTTATTAAATACACCTGCAGTAATCTTATTATGATTATAGTCAATAAAAATTAATTTAAATTAAATTTAACTGTTATCATGGCCAGAACTTCACTTTGAAGAGTAATCTTTGATATGCCATTCAAAGACCAACATTAGGCCTATGACTATCTAATGAATTCCAAAATTACGTTCGATTACTTAGTACCCAGAAGGGTGTATCGTGAGCTGTGCTGTACAATATGCCCCATTGCATGGATTTTAAAGAACTATAGGCTACAAAAAACTCAGGTGCCATGAGCAGAATAGAAGAACAGGAGTTTATCCTTGGCAATACCCTTCAAATAATAAATTTTGGTCTTACAATATAAGCTCCTTTTCTTAAATAGATTAATATCTGAAACAATAGTTTCCCACTGCAAGGGGTGGGGGGAGGAATTAGCCTCCAGGCTTGCTAGGCAAATGTATGTTTCTTTAATATAACAATTTAAATGCATAGGACTTTCATGCCAATAATCTTGAGCATATTGCCAAAGTTTCAATTTCTTAATACAAAAGATACAGAAAGTGAATCACACTTAAGTTTTATCTTCTTTTTAACTAAGTTTATATAAGTGAGTAATATAACCAGCACCACTGTCAAATTTAGCTACTTAGTGTACCATGTCACATAAATTAAGCCTACAGTGGTTTTATAATAATCATGACTCCAAAAACCCTGCTAAGTAACAAATTTATAGAGAACACAGGCAGCTGATATATATGGCGTATATTAAATGGGTCACTGTGGAGTTTCATTCTTTCTGAAGTTGAGAATACCTGAAAATACATTGATTTTGTATGGAAATCTACAGCTATAATAAAATAAGTGATATTTTGTATGCTGTTTGTAGTTTTCCAATGCAAAAACTGAACAGATCATTTACTTGGAAGCTCTGTATGCAAGTAGTATTAGAAAAAGTGACACATCTCACAGAGACAGAGAAGTTGCATGAATAAGGTCATTTCAGCAAATGCATTTTTCTTAATTATTTATATTTATTTTAATCAATTTGTATGTCTGCCCAACTTGCAGTCACAAATCTGGGTGGCAAACACTAGATTAAAAAGAAATACTGTAAATGGTAACAAAAGGAAAATAAATAAGAACACATCAACAGCCAACAAGAATAACGACTGTTAACCTTTACTGAATTGAATTGGCTCATCTAAAACCCAGAACAGCAGGCAAGGGGCCAATCTGATTTGGGGGTAAAAGGTTTCACAACAGATAAAAACTGTCTCTGGGCTTCCACCCTTAGTTTCACCTGTGATGGGAATTTAAAGTAGCCTCCTGCTAGTAAACTATTTAAAGTAACCTACTGCTAGTAAATAAAACAGAAATATGTTGCTTCTATTTGAAGGGCTTTACAGGTAAAGTTCCATTAGACGCAGAAATGTAATGGAAGTCAATGAAATATCTATAAGACAGGTTATTCTTTTATAATAGTTCTCATCTACTCACAGATAGCCAGTTACATTCTGTAGCAATAGTAGTTTCCAAATGGTTTCCAAATACATCCAAGTTGAGTACATAGTCTACCCTAAAGTACGTAAGAAAAGGGGCATTGGCACTTACCTGACACGCCCATTCTCTTTGAGCTGTGAAGAGCATCCAGTAGTGGGAGGTGCTTCAGTCTCTGCACGTGTAGGCTGGGCTTAAATTGTGGAACGCTCCTCCTCCTCCACGGGACTCCTCCCCAGCGTTCCCCAGTTTTGGCAAAGAGAGAAATAAACGCCCTCGTCCTCACTACCCTAACAATTCGTTGGCTGAAACAGGGCCCCACCAGACGGAAAAGGGGGTGGGGCTGGATGCTTTTCACAGCTCAAAGAGAACGAGCGTGCCCTTTCTCCCCTGAGCTGTTCAGAGCATCCAGTAGTGGGACATACCAAAGCTTGGCCTGTCCTACGGGAGGGACTGCGTCTGGTCTGGAATCTCCTCCTGGTCCCTGTGGACCCGTTGCAGAACTCTTCTGCCAAAGGAAGCCTCAGCGGATGCAAATACATCAATTTTATAATGTCTAATGAATGGCGATGGGGAAGCCCAAGTTGCGGCTCGACAAATTTCAGTTATTGGTGCCTGTGTGGCCCACGCTGCCGATGTTGCGGCGCTCCTTGTTGAATGAGCT